ACGGCATATCAATATTACATTTATAATATTTAGAATTGCTTTTTAAATCAAATATTTAATCAAATATTATGAAAATTAACAAAATATTTAAATGTTGTGGTTCAGTTTTTGATTATCTGAAAATGTAAAATGCAACTACACCTACCTTTCAAAATGTTGCTTCATTTGTTTACATGCATAATAATGTCCGTCTTTCAGACTCTGGACCTTCAGAACATCAGAAAAGGTTCCCTCGCCAATCTTACCAATTGTTTTGTATTCTACAGGGATCAAAATGAAAAACAAAAAACCACTAGGTTTTAGTATAGATGGTAAACTTAATATCCTTAGGATAGCCTTAATTACATTTTGTTTCATAAAATACATTAATAATTATGGTTTATTTATTCAAATCACAAACCTCTTTCCTGCTAGAAATATGACAAACTGCACCCTTTCCAATCAACTGTTGTTACTGTTTCTCTGCTAAGTTAAAGTTGTTTAAAGATTATGGAAGTACACCTCTTATTAGTGACTGTTATATGAGAACTTCCATCTTACTTGATATTTTGGTTTATTGAAATAACTGCTGGAGACTTTTCATATATTTGTCTATATCTCAGATTCTTATTAAGTCAAGTGTAGGGTATTCATTTTCCTCCATGTAATTTGTGGGTGAAAATGTAATCATGAGTGTCACACCTTGAGAAATCTGAATTTATTGCATAACAGCACCAGAAGAAAGAGACAGCACACATGAAAAACATTATTACTAGTGTTTAAACTAAGATCTACTCAGTTGTTAAATCTGGGTTTTGTACTCATAGGTTTTCACTGCTGTGTGCCTTTAAATGTTGATTTAAATGGTAAACCTATCAAGGGTTTTTTAAAACTATTTGTTTGGTGGTGAGGAGGTTTGGCTTCCTTTGATGCTAAGAGAGGGTGACTTGTCCTAGTGGATTTCTATCGCCAAGTGGGGATTTAAACCCTGGCCTCCCAGATTATAGCCCAACATTCAATAACTACACCATACTGGCTTTTATAGCATAAAATTGCACCAGTCAAGCAAAGCAAATTTTTGTTGTAGCAACATCTGTAATCTCTTTATGCTCTGGTATTTAATTTCAAAAATTTGACTAAGATCTGACATTTGAAACACACAGATATGGAATGGAAATGATGAATGCATCATAACATCTAAAACTGTCTCCAAAAACAGAAATGTTAAATTGAGTACCCTCTCAGCTACTTCCCATCCTTGCAGTTAAAAATCTCCAGTGTGTCAACTCTAGCTTTCTGTATAATTGCCTCCTGTAGATACTTCTCTGCTCCCATACACACTTTTATAGAAACTTTGTAGAAATTCTCTAGAATTTGAAGTCGAAGGCTTTCATGGCCAGCATCCATAGTTTTTTTTTGTGGGTTTTTTCGGGCTGTGTGGCCATGTTCTAGAAGAGTTTCTTTCATAAATGCTAGCCACAGATGCTGGCGAAACGTCAGAAAGAAACTCTTCTAGAACATGGCCACACAGCCCGAAAAAAACCCACAAAAAAACCCTATCTCTAGAATTTCTTATATAAACTTTTAGACAGCTACTTGCTGTATAGGTTCTTTCCAAAATAAATGTACTATTAATCCATATGGTGTTTAAATAACACTCTTTGCAGACTGTTCTTCTGTTTTGCAACTTCATACAATAAAAAAAGCAAATCCCTTTCCACATTGTCATTCTTTTCTATTGAAGGAAGCTTCTATTTGTGGGATTGTTTACAGTACATCTTAAACAAGCAGCGCTTAAAGTAAAATCATGTTTACAAAGCAGTAAACCGCTCTTTGCCAGGGGCATGTATTCTATTGATGTTATTTTTCTGCTGTACTCAGATTTAAAAACAAAGTCATTAAAGGACAAAAATCCACACTACGCTGCAAGAATGAACCTGTGCAGTTATACACAGCATAAAGCACAAGCCTCAGCTTCACCTATAAACAGGAACTAGACACACCAAGTCATATATAATTTTACAAAAATTTCAAGTAGAATTTATTGGCATCCAGGTATGCCTTTGCTTTTCAGAAATGTAACAAGAATAGGGGTTCTCAAGGGCAATTAGAATACAAAAAGCTGGAAAAGAAAAGGCTAGGGAGAAAATAAATACCTTTTTACCTATCTTGGGCACATTATAAAAAAATCAATGTGGTTAATTTTTCAGTTATTGTAAGATTTCTGTCATATGTAATGGGACTTATTTTACAACATGTGGTGGATTGTTCACTGCAGATGTTGACCTAATGCAGGGGTAGGCAACCTTTTCCCTTTAAGGGCCGAGGGACTTCAGCTCCCAGAAGCCTCAGCCATGTTGGCCAATAGTCCCATGTTGGCCAATGGCTCCTGGGATTCTGGGAGCTGAAGTCCCTCAGCCCTTAAAGGGGACAGGTTGCCTACCCCTGACCTAATGTGTGGTGGGCTGTAAAAAAGGCAAACTGCCTCCTGGAGATCAGTCGGGGGAAAACAGAAAATTAAATTGTCAATATCCTAATACTTTTATACAAATTTAGTGTGTCTACACTTGGAATACCATTTACAATTTCAATCACAATGCCTGGAAAAGTATACTGTAGAACTAGAAAGGCTTCCAATAAGGGTAACCGAAATGACAAAGAGACTGGTACAACTCATTAGTGGGACTAGTTACAATATTTGGGGCTGTTTTAGGTGTGAAATAAAATTAAGTATAGGAACTATGACACAAATGTGTAAAATTATGCACAATGCATAGAAAGTGGGTGGGGAGAAGCTTCTTTCTCTCTCAGTGCTAGACCCACTATAGATGAATGGTGGGAGACTGCTGGATTTCATGGTACATCTAATCCAACATGCCTATGCTTATATTAGGCCAAGGCCCTTTATAGTATATTTTTAATCGCTATCTATAAATCTGTTAGAAATATTCTCCGTATACCAACACACTGGAATGCTGTATTCCAGTGTGTTGGTATGCTCCGTATACCAACACACTGGAATGCTGTAATGTTGGATGCTGTATTTCCCCATCTCTACAGCCTCACTAAACTACAAGCCCCAGAATTGTACAGAATGTAGCCATGGCAGTTAAAGTAGAATCATAACATTATATTTGTATAGTGTGAAAGAGACCAATGTGCCTATCTGCTGTCTTCTCTGTTCATCTTGTATGTGCTCTATATCAGTAATCACAACATCTCTACCTTATTTCCTACTGTTGCCCCCCCCCCAATGATCTCAGGTGCTTTGACTGCCCTGTTAAAAAAGCTGTCGTATCAGCAGCATTATAAATAAAAAAGGCATACCCATTCCACCCCAATACATATGATTGCCATATTTTCCCAATCACCCTGGGTAGGAGTGAAGAAGATACCAATTGCTCTTCAGATAGAAACTTGGAAAGATGGAAGTTCACAAATCTGTGGAGTGCAGTGGTCCATAACTGCATGCCATTGATAGTTTTGAAAACCTGCTGATAAAGCAGGTGTGCCCACCTCTACAATTTTGAATGCCACTATAAATTAAGAAATCTGAACAAGCAAACAATTAAAATAGCTATTGGTACTTCTAAATTCAATATGAATGTAGGAATACCATGGCTATACACAAAATAGCTAGAAAGGTTAATGGTTCAGTCCCCAAGCTGATCCATACTAATTTATACTATGGAACAGAGATATTACATGTCAGTATATTTGTTGTAAAACAATACCCACTGCTATTTGATAGTGATTTTCACAATATTTATTCTTGATGATAAGTCAGGCCACTGGCACATCTTGTCTGGTGTTGTCTACTCCACAGAGCAGTGATGGTGAATCTTTTAGAGAATGAGTGCCCATTCTCTAAACCCAAGTGCAACCCAAAACCCACTTATTTATCGCAAAGTGCCAACACAGCAATTTAACCTGAATGCACCACCAGGGGAGGAGGAAGAGGAGGGAGGACATGACAGCTGGCAGGGGGGAGGAAGAGGAAAGAAGGAGGACGCAACGGCTGGCTATGAGTGCCCCTCTGGCATATGTGCCATAGGTTCGCCACCAGTGCCATAGAGTAATATCCTAAATAATTTCCTAGCTTTGCTATTCAGCACCCTGGAGGTGGAGATACTGAGAACTACATCTGCACCCTTACATGTACGAAAACTACACACCTTCCTTGACCTATGGTTCTTACTCTTGCATTAGAGTTAGAGAATGAACACAGGTTGGGGGAAAACTATTGTTTGATCAGTTATCAAACTGGCACCTTGACCCTAGAAGCATTTCTTTTACAGTTCCACTAATTTCAATGGAAGTTATGTCCAGCTGTGGCTTGAATTCCTGCCCACATGTGGTTCTTGAGCCCCACCAAATTATGTATTTTTGTGAATCTGCAAAGGAACAGGCTTTAGGATGTATAACTAGAATTCAGCTTGAGATCTGAACATTTATACTGGCATCAGCTTTCACAGACCTGGCCAAAAAGTTCACCAGAATATGCCTGAAATAGAGACAGACCATGACAGGTATAGACATGTAAATTGTATGTTGTATACCTTCAAGCAAAGCAAAGCAAAGCAAAGCAAAGCAAAGCAAAGCAAAGCAAAGCAAAGCAAAGCAAAGCAAAGCAATGCAAAGCAAAGCAAAGCAAAGCAAAGCAGCTTCATTTATATACTGCTTCATACCGCGCTATGGGGTGTCTAAACGGTTTACAACCGTAAGTTCATTGCCCCCCCCAACAGTTGGGTACTCATTTTAGCGACCTCGGAAGGATGCAGGCCTGAGTCTAGCCTGAGCCCTGGCTAGTATTGAACTCGCAACCTTGTGGTCTGAGTGAATGGCTGCAGTACAGGCATTTAACCACTGTGCCACCAGGGCTCAAGTCATTTCCAACTTACGGTGAGCCTAAGGAAACCTATCATGGGGTTTTCTTGGCAAGATTTGTTCAGAGGAAGTTTTGCCATTTCCTTTTGAAGCTGAGAGTGTATGACTTGCCCAACATCACCAGTGGGTTTCCATGGCCAAGCTGGGAACCGAATCCTGGTCTCCAGAGTAGTAGTCCAACGCTCAAACCACTATGCCACACTGGCTCCCACTGAAAAACTGACCCACAGGTAAACCAAGTCAACATGTTGAGAGCTGCAAGTACAATGCAAAGTACCAAAAGCATGTCCTTGTGCACACATAGGCCTGCCCTTCCATTAGACACAGTGCAGCAGCCTTCTCAGCTGACAGATTTTGACCAAGATCCTATATGTACATGTAGCTTCACATGTGCCATTCTATATCCTCCCTCAGCAGCTATCAACCCCCAGATGGATCCCTGATGCTGTCACATGGGGAAAGATGGGGAAGGTGTTTCAGACCATGGAGAAGCAGCTGATCTCAGCTTGTGGGACAGGTGACGGTGCTTTCTCAAATGGAAGACACCTGCATTTTCCTTGCCCCAGGAGCCCAGAACTGCTGGATCTTCACATTCCTAATAGTTTTCTTCCCCTTTTCACTGGTAACAGCAGCAGGGGCTACTCCCAGGGCTTGACAGCTGCTCAGAGTGTGAGGTTTTTCACTGGGGCACAAGGGAAAAGAATAGCCCTCTCTGCCCCTTCCAAAATAGGATATCATTCACAAAAAGGATGCTGGTCGTAAGGTGTCAGGGCAGCAAATTCAAAAGTTATCCTGATTTCTTACTATATTTTTACTGCGGGGGGGGGGGGGGGGGGGGGGGGGGGGGGGAACGGGACACGAGACTCTGTGGTTCTTTTGAGATTTTCTGCCCACATGTGACATAGCAAGACTATGTATCTTGATCTGAGTGGATGGGGACATTGTTCAGTACTCCTTGGGCAGCAAAAATTTCTTGAGCCAGCCTTGCAGGTGCTTACACTATAATTGCTGAAGCGGTAAGCCTCAAAAAGCACACCTATAATGAAACAAAGGGAACTACTCCATGCAGGACAAGAACTGTCAATGGTCTTTCTTCAAAACCTAAAAAAACAAGTTATCCTGAAAGAATGCAAGCGGTGTGACGTCCTTTTAACTTGAATCCTTGGGCTCCCCAATCTATTGCCCACAATAGGTTTCCACCATTTTCTCCTGAGGTGGGGGCAGCACTAGCTGTCCTTTTGCCTTCATCTTCTTCCCACCAAAGCCAAGAACCAGATTCTGCAACCTGCACATCCTTCCTTGCTGTGTGTGTTTATAGTTATATACAGTCAGCCATCCATATCCACTGATTTTTTTTATCCACAGATTCAACTATCCATGATTTGAAAATATTTGTGTGTATGTATTCTAAAAAGCAAACTTTGGATTTGCCATTTTATATAAGGGACACCATTTTACTACGTCATTGTATATAGGGCTAAAGGTCATGGCTAAAAGTCTCACCAAACTGCAGTTTCCAGGATTCCATAGTATGGAATTAGGCAATGATTAGACCATTCAGACCATTACAGCTGTGCAAAAGAAGTTGTAGCATAAGCTTTCCTAGATGGCGGCTGCATCCACAATGCAAAAATAATCCAGCTTGACACCACTTTAACTCCCATGGCTCAGTGCTATGGAATTTTGGGACGTGTAGTTTTATGAGATGCATACAGCATTGTGTCTACAAATCCTAGGTTTACATAACATGGAGCCAGAATAGCTAAAGCGTTGTCAGACTAAATTACTTCTGCAGTGTGGATGCAGTCAGAATCTGTTGCTAAGAGGGCGGGTTTCCATGTCTTTGGTTTCATCTGCACTGCAGAAATAATGAAGTTGACTACCACTTTAACTTCTGTGGCTCAATGCTATGGAATTCTGTGATTCGTAGGTTTGTAAGACATTTAGCCTTCTCTATCAGGAGCTCAGTCTGGGGCCACTCCCAGGATTTCACAAGGTGGAGCCGTGGCAGTTAAAGTGATGTCAAACTGGATTATTTCTGCAGTGTGGATGCAGCCTCAGGCCTCATTCCCACTTACAAATAAATCAGTTTGCAATCCGAATCAATGGATCGGTTTGACAGCAGAGCATGGTTCACACTACATTTGCCCCGATCGCATTTTCTTGTTGTAAATTAACTCACTTGTCGTTCACATTGACTAATGAATCAATTCAAAATGGAACCCCTTCAGCCGACTGACAAATTTAAACGGCAAATTTAAATCAATTCCAATCCACATCCCGTTCACACTTGCGCAGAATCGATTTATTGCAAAAGATGCAGAAAAAGTGAGCATCAAAGACATGCGTTAAATGGGTCTAGTGCAGGGCCCCCTTCACCAAACCGCTTCAGCGATTTGGCTCAAGTGTGAACCAGGGTCACTTAAACCACTTCAAACTGGTTAGTAAACCGGTTTATAATGTAATGGGAATAAGGCCACAGACTGCTGCCATACTGCAGAAATAAAGCAGCATGACAGCACTTTAACTGCCCTGACTCAGTGCTATGGAATTCTGGGATTTGTAGTTTGTTGTGGTACCAGAGCTCTCTGACAGAGAAGGCTGAATGTCTCACAAAGAGCCTTTGCAGACTGCTAGAAATAGTGCAAATTGAGTCCACT